GGAGAGAGAGAGAGAGAGAGAGAGAGAGAGAGAGAGAGAGAGAGAGAAGAGCAATAGGAAGAGAGGGGGAAAACTTTTAATTTTAATATTACCTGTTCAACGTTTCTCTTTGTGAATTTTTAAATGTACGAGCACGGGCCGTGGGTAACTCGGTCTCATTTCTCAACTTCAAAACCTATCTCTCAGCCCGCCGTCCTCACCGCCGTCGCCCCGGCTCCACCACGTAAAGTTTCTCCGCTGTGTGTGCTTGCTTTACCGTCTCTCTCTATCCCTCCCTCCCTCCTTCTCTCTCTCTCCCTTTCTTTCTTTCTCTCTCTCTCTCCCTCTCCGCCGCCAGTCGCATTATACAACCGCCTATTTCTAGGAGCATGCCTCTCTCTCTTTCTCTCTCTCTCCCTCTCTCTGAAGCTCTCTTTCTCTCGCGGACTCTTACTTAGATCTTATATTCCTACTTTCGCGCCGAGCTCCACCGCAGTTCATCGCATTATCTCCCTTCGCCGTCGCCTCCATCTTCGCGGTGTCTCCCGTTTCGTAACCTCCCTCGCCGATATTGCACGGCGCATCCTCGTTACAGCCATTCTCTCGGTGTTTCACTATCACTTCATCGATACTTCCTCGCGCGAGAATTACCCGGACTCCACCAGGGGGGAGATAAATGTGTTTAACGCGCAACCGTACGTCATCTAATTTATTTAAGTCGCGGCTCGTTACGCCGTCTGTCTTTCCCGCCGGTCTCCTCTCGCGGAAGCGTGCAGTGCGACGGTGCTCGTCGATTAATTCGTTTTACGATCCTTGCCGCTTGTTATGCCTGAATCCACCCTCCTGCGGTGATTTGCGAGGCCGCGTGATTGACGTTCTGAACATAATTATAACTATAATTGACACGCGTTGAACATGAGACACATCAGGATTGTTTGAAACATCTATCCATCTTGTTGTAAGCTAGAGAGCTTACATCTTAACACTCTGTAACCCGAATGTCTATTAAGAGCATCTCCATCGCGGCGGTGCCTCGCCAGGCAAAGTGTTAACTTGTACTTGGGCCGTTTATTTGGAAAGTCTACTACGTGAGTCCATTCCTTATCCACCCCTTCCCATTTTCTTCGCATTGATTGCCGTAAGCATGGCGAGTCAATTGTCCTCTCTTAGGACAAAATCGAACTTTCCGAATAGATATGTGTCTACACCGAGAGAAAAATATCTGAAAAGTTAGAAATATTTATTTCATGGCTACTAATAACATATTATACTGATATGCACAATTTTGCACATTGAGGAAACATTTCTTTCAAATAAAAAATATATATATTTTTGCTATTTGTTGCTTCTCATGAAAGCAATTTATCCTACTTATTCGTTTATCCTATTTAAATAAAAAATCTAAATGTAAATAAATATGTTATTAGTTACCGACGAATAAATATTTTCTTTTTCATATTTTTTGCACATTGAGGAAAAATTTCTTTCAAATAAAAAAAATATATATAATTTTTGCTATTTGTTGCTTCTCATGAAAACAATTTATCCTATATAATTTATTCGTTTATCCTATTTAAATAAAAAATCTAAATAAATATGTTATTAGTTACCAGCGAATAAATATTTTCTTTTTCATATTTTTTAAATATTTTTGCTCTCAGTATATATAATTTCATGTTTTTCAAAACTCCTATTTTATTCCCTTTTTCACGATGATTATCGTAAATACAGCGATTGTGTTATCATTTCCTCTTTTTTTCGGAATTAAACTTGCGAACTCTCCTTCAGAATAAGCGCGTGGAAAATGAATCAGTCACAATCTCGCCCTTTTCCTTTCTCTCCGCTATTTATTTATCTCTCCCTCGCATTTTCTCTTCTCTAGTCGCGACCAGAATCACAGCTGCAAATCTCTCGTCTCCGTCTCTTGTCGCTTCATCTCTGACTTTATTCCCCGAGAATTTGACTTCCTTCCGGCAAAGCCCATCTGTTCTGTAGCTCTCGATCCAGTAAGCTTCCCCACGTAGCACGCGCGCACGAGTGAGCAAGCACGGGGGAGATTTTCTCGCCCCGTGTACTTACTTGTTCCGTCTCATCACTCGCTCTCTATCCCCGCGACGTCGTCCCCGACGTGTTGGCTGCATCCCGTCGCGAGACTAGCCTCGTCGATCGAGGAGGAGAACGACTCCTCTCGATCCGATCCGATGGAAATCCCCGCGAAAAACTCGAGATGCGTAGGGCTTCTCTTGGACTCCACATTTGCCTGTCTATCTTCCGCATTCTCGCGGTACGCATTCCACCCTCTGTCATTCCACCCTCCCCTTTGCCCGCGGGATGACCCAGTTAATCCCGGCGTTTGTACGGAGAATTATGCATGTCGAGATACGCGCGGTGAGCGCGTGTAACGTAACATAAATAATGGGAGGGGAGAAGGGCCAGAGGGCCAAAAGGGACGGACGGACGGAAGGGAGGGGCGACGGGCGGAAAGGGTAAACGCGCAATCACGCTACCGTTTCGTCGGAACGGCGTATATAATTGATTTCGCGTGAGCATTGGAGTCCGATAATATTACTCTCAATTAGTTTTGTTACGCACGAGCACACGCTGTTTATCATTATCATATGTTGTAATTGCGAGATGAATTCTCGTGCGTGTGCAAAACACGCGGGGTACGTTGCGATTGCATAATCGCACGGAACGATGTTATAGTTGGCGAAAATCTGCGGCGGGAAAGAGGAGGGAGAAAGAGAGAGACGACGGATAGTATTCCGCTTGCGAGTCCTGAATCCCTGCGCGCGACGCCCTCCACCACGTGGTAAGACCACCCCGACAGGGCGACCGGGTATTATCCGCGTTGTAATCCGCTTTATATCCTCATTGAAAAGACTTACGTAAAATCGTTCCGATTCAAAAAAGTTATGTCCGCAAGCGCGCACACACGGGAGAAAGAGAGAGAGAGAGAGAGAGCAGCTTGCAGCTTCCACCGTACGGAGAGCCGGTGGAGAAGCAGGATTCCTCTCCTCTCTTGCTTTTCTACAAAAGAAAGCTTTGCCTCGAATCGTTATTTGATTTCTGAGCATCTCCCGAATACTCCGTGCTTCAACGAGAGAAAGAGAAAAAGAGAAGGGGGGAGAGGAGAGAGAGAGAGGGAGAGCGCGCAAATGTGTTGTTGGAATCTATTCGGCAAAGTGTGTCGGCAGACTTGGATTTATGTCTCTTTGTAATAAAATAAACGTCTCCAGATGCCGCGTCGAGCGAAAATTGCAACCGTAAGTCCAATTTTCTTTCTCTCTCTCCCTCTCGGCGTGTCGCTCGACTTAGTCTCCTGAGTGTTGTTTAGCGAACACACATATACAAATGTATGTACGTGCTTTTATCGATTGCGAAATAACGGATTCGCGTAAGCCGGCGCGCGACGGTGCACTCGCGTGTCTTGCATAGACAAGAAGGCACATGCGAAAGAGTGTTAAGAAACGCGTGGAAATATGAGTATTCGACGCGAGAGACAGGAAAAGAGGAGAGAAGAAGAGCAGAGAACGGATGGGGGATGACGAGAGGGAGGAGGAACGAGGAGGACGTGTCGAGCGCGCTCCCGTGGGCTTGATGTTTTGAATTTTCAGAATTTTTGACACTTCGCGGTCTGCCGACAGCACTCAGCTGTCGGGCCATTGTTACATCGGAATTTGCTGACGGCATGCTGCCGTGTCATAGATAGGTGTGCGTTGGATCGGTTGATGAAGTGGGAATTTGTTAATGTTGTCATTCCCCGTTCGGCCGAGTCTCGCGCCGCCGAAACGAGCGGTCAGAGCGCTAAAAAATCACACAATTTTGTTCGCGAATTCGAGAAGGCGCGTTGAACAACGAGTCATGCTAAGAGATCTCTTCTTCTTTTCCTTTCCTTCCTTTTCTTTTTCACATAACGGCCTAGATTGTACAAGCCTTTGTCCAGCGATTTGATTGTCACGAGAGACATAACAGATGATGAAAGCATATCGCTCTAATACGACTGTGTGCTTAGATTGCTATATTAGTGCTTATCGCAAAGCGTTCCACCGCAATGTACACTCTTAACCATACCTTAACCGCGTAGTACCTCCGAATTCGAAGTACTAATTTCTAAATGGAAACGACATTTCGAGTTATTCGCCGATAGCA